ATCTTCTTTATCCATTCATCTGTTGATGGACATCTTGGCTCTTTCCATAGTTTGGCTATTGTGGACATTGCTGCTATAAACATCGGGGTGCATGTACTCCTTCGGATCATTACATTTGTATCTTTGGGGTAAATACTCAGTAGTGCAATTGCTGGATCATATGGTAGTTCTATTTTCAACTTTTTGAGGAACCTCCAAACTGTTTTCCAGAGTGGCTGCACCAGCTTGCATTCCCACCAACAGTGTAGGAGGGTTCCCCTTTCTCTGCATCCCTGCCAACATCTGTTGTTTCCTGACTTGTTAATTTTAGCCATTCATGTTAACCAAAAATCCAAGGCTTAATGTCAATGGCAGGAGAGAACAGTTCGAAGTACAGGACTGGTTATTAAGCACAAGTTCAAAATTCTAAAACTTTCATTTCGAATTCATACCAGTGTGTTTCTAACCATTTCAAATGCGTTTGAGGGAAGATTTTATAGCAATTTCTAATAAGGTGCAAGAAGTGGGTAACTGAACCAGATTTTCCTTTCCTGCTTTCGTCTCTTCCTCTGTAACATGCATGCACACATGCCATGAACATTTATACCTGCCTTTTCTCAAGCTGACCCCTCTGTCTAGAGTGCTGTTATCCATTCCATCTGAAAAACTTACTAATCCTATTCTTGAAAGATCAGTTCACATTTCTCTCATTCTGTAAGTCTTCCCCACCCTGCTCAGAAGTAAATGCCAATAGATTCCTGAATTCAAACATAAAGTGTTCAAACTTTAATTAGAAATGACTTTTTTTACTGTGTACTTTCTCAGAGTATTTCCAGAAGGCTTCATTTTTCTCTCTTGTATCCTCTAATTTCTACATATGTGCATATATTTTTGGTATAACTGTCCATCAGAGTCACAGTAAATGCAATTCACAATCTCCATGAACACCTGTTAACTTAAACAAAGGTAAAAAAATATATAACTGAGGTCAGGTTTGGTTAAGATGAAATAAACACAAACTACCCTGTGTGTTCCACTGAATGCAGCTAAAAAAACCTGGGGAGAATTCATGAAGGAGTTAAAGACTCTACAAGATAAATCATAGCAGGAAGACTGGGGAAGAAGACAAGACAAGAATTCAAAGTACCACTGAATCACTGAGGAAGTAATTTCTCCTACCCCCTGGCCTGGATTCAAGGCAGCCTAGATTTGGAAGTGGGCACTGGGGCATGGCACAGAAAAACTCTAGGAAGGCCCTGTAGCTTGGGCTCACAGAATAGGAAAGGGCTCAAAGAAGGGAGAAATCATTTTTTTCCCCTTGATTCTCTTGTGTCCCAATCCCTAGATCATCCCAAGGTAGTGGCTGAGATCATAGTGACAGCAAGAATGTATAGGTACCTAAAATGCCAAGAAAGGGGAACCTTCTTATCCACTCAGAGGAGCAGTGGCCCCAAGAGGATGGTACAAACTTTCATCAAGTTCTTCCTCACCATCTTCTTGTA